GCCGAGGCTGAGTCCCGAGTGAGTGTGGAATGTGTGCAGGGTGGGGTGGAGGGCTGGCGGCAGATCTGTCCCTTACAGACTCTGCCCCTAACTAGCTGAGTGATTGTGGCCAAAGTCATGATGCCTCACTGACCCTCCCTTTAGCTACGAAACAAAGACATTCACCTCTGCTCTTTCTGCTTTGAAGGTTGTAGGGGAGCTCAAAGAGCTAGGAAAATAGAAAAGCAAAAGGTAAAGTGTAAGGCAGATTGAATATTATAATGCCAGCTCTTTCTGTACCCACTGTATGACTTGGAGTCACTTAAGCTATCTGTGCCTCAGTTGCCCTATTTATAACATGAAGACAGTAGTTATGCCCATCTCGGGATTGTCCTGACCGTGAAGTACATTCATATGAACTGCTTAGAATAATGCCCAGCACATCACAAGTGCTACAATTGTTTCCCACTAGTGCTATTATTAATGTTTCATCAAAAAGGAAAATAAACTATTTCTTTAAATCGTCCCTTTTTTTTTTTTCCTAAAAAGGACTCAACTTCCTTCCACAATGCCGTGGGGTCTTTACAGAACATCCTGGGAAGCTCCTGACATAGATTCTGAAAGATAGGGTCATTAAGAATGTGTCAGTGATACCATTTTTAAAGCAACGTGTAATACGCACAAAGCAGAAACAAATTAGATCTGTGTCAGTAAGTGGATTCCAATGTACACGTTGATCTTTGCAGGTTCATGCGATAAGCAGAGAAAACACATATTTATTTAGAAGTCAGCATTTGTTGAGTTTTTGTTGTTGTTTTTTGTTTTGTTTTTTTTTTGGCGATGACTTTTTGAAATTAGACCGTTTTAGTAACGCAGAAGAGGAGGTCTGTTGTGGGAAATCAGTGGATGCTTTAACATATTGCGATCACTCATGGGGCTTCCACTGTGCGTTGAGTTCTTGCTCAACACTGGCTGCAAATCCTCATGGGAGAGGCCTTCACAGAGCTCACAACTGGTGGAGGAGAGCAGCAATAGGGCACTGTGCTGCCCGTGTTGAGGGAGGACTCCAAGGGCTAGGAGCCCAAAGGAGGAGCTAGTGTGATCCCTCGGGTATAAGTGATGAGGGTTTGGGCAAAACCTGGAGCTGAGGAAAGAGCTTTGATGGGATGGAGCAGGGGCCAGTGCATCTGGGCAGGGCAAGGAGCATGGAGCCTTGGTGACACTGGGGAGGGTCCTAACCCTATGTGGCAGCAAAAGCACAGATGAGCAGCTGGGCAAACTCACGAGGAGCCTGTGCTCCGATGGCTGGGTTTCCCTCTGCAGACATGGCAGTCATGGCTGGGAACCAGGGCAGGAGGAGGTACACCTCCCAGGCAGAGGGCTCACCCCACGGGGCATGCAGGCGTGGAAGCCAGCCTGGAGAGGGCAGCCACATGAGCCCTTAGTAACCTGATAGGGTTGGACCGGCGGCAAACTTCCTGATCTCCTGACTTGACACATGCCCGCATGCATTCTCGGCTTCTGATGAGTGATAGCAGCAAAACAGGCTGGGAGAGGGCTTCTTCTCTATTGGCAGCACTCCTTGGACTATCTGATCTAGGAAATCCAAGGAACTGGAAGACAACATGAAGTGGCGTGAGAGCTGTTTCGGTGGAGGGAAACCAAGGACTGAAGAGTGGGCAGGGAGCTCCTTCCAGCCATCCGCTGGGTGGGAGAGAGTGGCAAAGAAGTCTTGTGTGGCTTCCCAGGTGGCAGGATGTACAGTAAAGAAGCAACTGTGGGGGAGCAGCCTGGGCGGTGGAGACAGAGGTCCTAGGAGAATCATCCCACAGCGGCGCTGCCTGCCATGAGCTCTGCACTGTGCAATTCACACCAAACACATGAAGTGGGGCAGAGGCTCATGGAGGGTAGGTCAGTTCCTCACCGAGGTGCATCACTGAGAAGGTGGAGCCAAGCTCCAAGGGCGCTGTGTATGCATCACCAGCGCTCCAAATTATCCCGAGCCTTGAGCACATCCGCAGGCCTCCCGGAAAATGCTCCTGTCTCCACCCTCGCTGCTGCTTCTACGTTACCTTTAAGAGCTATGGATGGCCAGACTCAAAACTCCCTGACTTTCTATTCCAATGACTTTCTTGAAGTTTGGAAAACTAGAAAATACTCGCCTGTGTGCGATGAACCCAAATTCCAAAAGCAAATAACCGGGCAGAGTGAAATTAAAAAGTTGGCTATAGGTGACACCGTTGTTACGCGCCAGGGCTTTGTGATTAGGGTTCTCAGAACCGAACTGAACCCTAAGCTGAGATGTTTCCCCAGTGCGCTCCAAGGGTGTTAGCTTGCTTGCGCTCAGGTCTGGCTGTGGACAGCTCAAACATTGCTACCCTTACTTGGCAGAATATCTGAGGTCGCTCTCTGTCGTCCCTCTGCCTCCCTCCCCTCCTCCCTCCTGGACTCCTTTTCTCTTTCTAATAAGCAAAGCCTTCTGACACAGCTGTGATGCAAAGCGTCAACCACTTCTGAAACATAAAGCGAATCAACACTTTCCAAGACAACAACACAACAACTGCAAAGCTGCTCACGGTTACGAAGTGGCCCCACCAGCCCATTCATGGGGCACGGGTGTGTCCTTATCTCAGATGTGGCTGTGGGACAGCTGAGGAATGGAATAAGCAACACCACGATATCTAACACGAGCGGATGGAGAGACACTTGGAAGGCGAGTGTTTTTCGGATTTCATAGGAAATGATGATGACTCTTGGCATAGAGACATTTGGATCTCCTCTCCCTCCCGAGGACGCCGTCATGCTCAGAGCGAGTTGGGACAAACACTCAGCCGGGGAGGGGAGGGGAGAGGAGTACACGACTTCAGCTCATTCAAACAGATGTCGAGAGTCACCCTCGGCCTTCCCAAAGTTCCAGGACATGGTGGAATGTGAGGCCAGAGGCCTCAGCTGGCTACGGCTCCACTGTTAACAGACCTTGTTATTCAGAGCGTGAACTAGGACCTCTCTGGGCCTCGGCTTCCTTCTTCATAAGATGAATTCAGACTGCTTACACACAGTGGCAAGATTACGTGGAAGAGTGGACAGGCCCGGGCCCTTCCTCCTTCGGTCCCTCACTTGCCCACTCGTGCGTCCTCGGTGACCAACTCTTGTTTATAGAGGGAACACAGCTGGAAACTGCTGGGCTCGGGGCTGCCACGAAACAGCCCTGCCCCTGTGCGGCACTCTGCAGAGCTGAGAGACTCGGGCAGGTGCTGGGAAGAGCCGAAGGCACAGGGATGCTCCAGGGAAAGCGGGCCCGGGAGGAGAGGGGTTGAGGCCACCTGCTTCCGGTAGGGGCAGCTGCCATAGCAACCCCCAGATGATGCCGAGGCATCTTGTGAGCACCCATCTGTGCCAGGCGCTCGGCCAGGCTCTGGGAACACCACGCCTGAAAGGGACGCTGTGGCCGCCACACTCATGAGGTTCGCTGGCGAAGTGGGAGTGACGACTGTTACCCAAAGGGGCACACAGCAAGCAGCAGACGACAAGATTGATGAGAGCAAGGAAGAGGGGCCTGGGCCAGGACAGGCTGTCCCAGGGCGTCTGGAAAGGGGGACTGGACTGAGCGAGGCTTCAACGGGGACTCGAGGGCTGGAGGGGTAGAAACAGAGGGGTGGGGATTGAGACGCACCCACAGGGCAGGGCAGGTGGGCCCTGCAAGGAGGCGCCAGTGTGGGGGACCTCTAGGCCCTGCAGGGCCAGGGCAGGCTACCCCCGGCCGGCCGTCTGCAGAATGTGCACCCAGCTAAGCGCTGAGTCATGCGGGCGAGATGCGTGCCCCGCAGGATGCAGACCTGGTCGTCCGGGCCCTCGGCTCCGGTTCCCACTGAGCCCTTGTCTTCCTCCCTGGGTCAGGAAAGAACTAAAGGAGGCCGAGACACACGGGGGCCGGGGAGAGGAGGCTGCTCACCTCAGTTTTCTGTTTTTGGTGTCACCCTGCAGAGGCACCTGGTGAAGATGGCTGTGTGTGTTCTACTCCTTCTGTGTTGCTGGAGCGATACTGAGTGTGCACAGTGTCAGTTCTGTGCATGCGTGGCAGGATACCCTTGGATTTTGCTGCAATATTTAGACTTTAGGACTTGAGGATCAGGAATCCTGGACGTGTTCATCAGTGTGAGACATGTGAAGGAGATGAAGGCAGGCGTGTCCCGTCCAGGATGACAACTGGGGAGGGGTCATTCTCTGTGCTGGGGACTCCTGAGCACTGTCAGATACTCCTCCACCTCTGGGGCCTCTGTTGCCTGATCCCCTGGCGCCCCCTCCCTGAATGTTTCCAGATGTTACAGACTCACCCCCAGCTGCAAACCGTGGGATTAAGATTAGGATTCCTGTGTGCTAGGTCATGTTATACAGCCACAAAGAAAGAGAAGGAAGAAGCCATTTGCTGATGAGGAACGATGAGCAGAACAGAGACAGCCTTCCTTGAAGTCAGCAGCTCAGCTTGAGGAACTCACAGACAGCCCTTGTCGGGTGTGAGGCGGAGTGGGTGCAGACCTGAGAAACGCAGCTGAAACCAGGTCTGGGGACCACCTGGGCATCGTTTACCTCCATGCTGCTGGCTCTGCAGCTGAAAGGACCATTCAGCGGAGGAGGAGGAGGAGGAGGGGGCG